GGCAGGGAGAATGTCGAGAATGTGGTTTGGGCAAGTTGCACACTCGCTTTAACGTGGCACTTTAGACGTCTCAGAGTTGCATTGGAGTTCAAAAGCTTCTCGTTTAGCAGTCAAATGTGTTTTTAGGGCGCCGTAACTACAGTACAGAGAGAGACAGCGTGCATGAGTGTAAGCGTGCATGGATTTATGCACATGCATGTGTGCTCACACGTTGGCAGGTTGGAGTGTGATATATAGTCGCTCTGATCGCCTGTGGGGGAGGCGAACGCTTTCCTCTTCATTTGTTTTCTCTGCACATTCAGCATGGACAGCTGTACCATGTCAAGCAGGGCTACTTTATGGCTGATTTGTGGGTTGCTTTCCTGTAGGTTTAAAGCTCCTCTAGATTTTGTTAAACATCCTTGCTATTATAAACCAGCAGTTCTTAACTGGTTTTGCTTCTGGACTCTGATGTTTATCATGCAATGTCAACAAAAATGTCCTGAAATCGACCTAATTCATATTTTGCATGCTATTCCAAAGGATAAATATTTGTATGGGTACTTTACAAGTATATCCTACTTCAAGTGCAGTACACTCATGTAAAGCAAGATATACTATATATAGCAAATCTTAGCTGCGTGATTGTTTATCGTCACAAAATGTAGCTATATTATCGCTATGGAACTACGGAATTAAAATAAATACGTAATTGCAACATTTTAGCAGATTTTTTTCTTGCAATTCTGAGACAAACATATAATCTTGGAATAAAAACGTAAAACTTGGAATTGCAAGAAAAATTCTGAATTTTTCTCATAATTGTGAGCTGATATCTTGCAATTAGCCTGTGTGTTTATATCTCGCTCACTGTTTTATTTTTTCAGAATTCTTTTCTCCTTTCAAAATTGTCTGAATTGTGAGATAAAGTTGCAATTACCTTTTTTATTTTTTATATCCATTGGAGAAACAGTCTTCCATATATCATCCAGCTGGATTTATAAGTAGGCCTATGTCCAACTATTTCTGCATACATACAGTATTTTTACGTAAAGCGATATATAATATAGCAAATATCTGCTGGTATCTTTGCAAACTGTAAGCTATATTATCGTCCAACTTCAATCTGCTAAACGCACATATATGGCATGAAGATATTAAGATATTATAAACATAAACATCTGGATTTTCTGTAAAGCTGCTTTGAAACAATGTGTATTGAGAAAAGCACTGTACAGATAAATTTGACTTGGCTTCTTAATCTTTTATCTAAATGTAACTTTTTCTAAAACGACTCTCCAGTTCGGACGATGTCATTTATTTTAGCTCTCGATGCATACTTTTTTTTACGATGCAGTCGGTTCCTGGCAGATAAAATCAATTTCTCCCTTGTGTTTTTCCTCAATGAAAATAATTTTTCACTGATAACGTAAATTATGTTTTTCTTTTCTTGAATTTTGCTGAAAATGGCAAGTTGATATAGTAAGAAATCTCCTGCTAAGAGTGTAAATGTCTGAAGTTTAACTAAGGCTAATAAAAGAAAGATAAGAGTTGTTTTAGTTGAGTTTGTGTTCAATATTTTGCATTTTAAGTCAATAATTTTGACAGGGCATTTCTAAATATCTCTGCACGTTGTACCAGGCTTTATGTGAACTAACTCTCACTTTTTATCTTTCTGTCTTTTGGTATGATCGTGCTAGACTTTGGTCCCGTTCCAAATGGCTCCCTCTCACAGTCTTCTTCCCAGTCTACATTTTAGGTAATAGTCAGCTGTGAAGTCTGAACTGGCTCATAGTGGTTACAAATGAAAATGCGTGCCATCTGGGACTGAGCATATATGTGCCATTAACTTGCATTTGTATGCATGTGGATATATATAATTGCATTTATTTTCAAGAAACTATTTATTGTGTGTGTATATATATATATCCCTTTCTGCTACCTCATTTGCCTGTTGACATGCTGCCATCATTCATACAAACACGTACACGGCAGAGTGAAAGGTGCCAGCAGGTCACCATCATGACCCTGAGTGTCCTTTGAGTGCAGAAAACCACATTATTCCACCTCTCTTCTTATGTAACGTTTTAAAATTCATCCGTATCACTTTGTCTGTTTTGAAAATGTCTGAATGCTTAAGCTAAGGGTCAGGATGCTCAAGGTCACAGAACACAATAAATGCTCTGCTAGAATACATTGTTATGACATTGCACCAAGGCTGCATTTATTTGATCAAAAATTGCAGTAAAATCTGTAATATTGTGAAATATTATTACAATTTAAAATAACCATTTTATATTTTAATATATGTTAAAGTGTAATTTATTTCTGTGATGCAAAAGTGAATTTTCAGCATCATTACTCCAGTCTTCAGTGTCACATGATCCTTCAGAAATCATTCTAATATGCTGATTTGCTGCTCAACCAACATTTCTGATTATCATCAGTGTCAAAAACAGCTGTGCTGCCTCATATATTTGTGGAAACCATGAAGTATTTTATTTTTCAAGAGTCTTTGATGAATAGAAAGTTCAAAAGAACAGCATTTATTTGAAATAGATTTTTTATGACATTATAAATATCTTTACTGTCACTTTTGATCAATTTTATGCATCCTTTCTTGTGTATTAATTAAATGGAAAAACTTTTAATGCTTTTGTTGTCTCAAATGCATCAATTGACTACAGTGACCCTTTTTCCCCTGTATTTTAAATATTTAGTCAGTTTTTATCTCATTTTGTGGCATTTATTCTGAGAACTGGTTTATTTCTGACGTAGCTTTAACAGAAGCTATTTTGTGTGTAATTGAGCCAAATCTTTGATGCCCGACTGCTTTGTTTCTCATCTGATCTGTGGCTGGTGTTGACGTACTCATGTTTGCTCTGTCCTGAATAGCAGATGTTTTCCAGTCTGATTTTTTTGGTCACAAACAGGAAAAGGATAGGATCCAAGGGCAAAGATCTTACTCCTGCTCGCTGTGGGATTGTAAATGACCTATTTACATCCTAACTATCCGACGTAAACTGCTGTCTAAGCACGATCGGCCAGAGCCGGGGATTATTGATACCACAAGGTGTTTTCGGTGCTCGTAAGATCAAATTTATATTCAAAACAGCAGAGTGAAATAGAAAACTGATGAGCTCAGGGGAAGTTATTTAAGAAGACAACAGGAAATGCTGTGTTTAGGTGTGAGGATGTGCCTTACATTCATCACAGCCTCAGAGACAAAGCAAGAGCGACGGAGAAACACAAGACGTTCTGCGTGCATTTAGTAGCAGCTGATAGTGAAGAAGAAGCATCATTAAGTGTTTATCATGCATGCTCATCCTTCATTAATGCACTGGATGAAGTTGGTTTTGAATTTCCAGATTGAGCATAGCTGGAGGAAGCTCATACTGTATAATATATAAGAGAGTTTGCATTTGTGTTACATGTTTTGGTCACTACAGCATTCCCAGACTTCCTTTGGTCTGTTATGTCATAATTTAAATGTGGTTTCTGGTTTGTGTTGAATCTCTGCTTTAAATTATTCAGATCTTGATCAAGTCTTGATATCAGTACTACAGAAACATCAACTTCTTAATTGATAGGCTTGGAAACTTCTTGGAAAATTTTTATGCTGTGAACATTTAATGTCAGCTTTGCATTTGCTTAATTTTTAATGTTGAGGCAGATAGATAATAGAATATTAATTATGTATAATAATAATGATAATAATTATAATGCTTTATTTAAATAATATTTAATTTATTTAAATATGATTTATCTTTTAATAAAGTTGAATATCATTTAATAAAATTACTTTATGTTATATATACATTTTTAATTATTTTATATATATATTAGTGCTGTCAAACGATTAATCGCGATTAATTGCATCCCAAATAAAAGTTTTTGTTTACATAGTATGTAGTTTGTTTACATAGTAATATGTGTGTATACTGTGTATATTTATTATGTATATATAAATACACACACATGCATGTATATATTTAAGAAAAATATGTTACGTTTATATATTAAATATATTTATATATAATACAAATTATATGAATAAAAATATATACATGTAAATATTTTCATATATATATATATTACATTAATGTCAATACGTTTTATCATTTTTCTTTTAATAAAAATAAAATTATAGTAAAATATAATAATATAATTTAATATAATAATTTGATATAATATAATATTTTTATCATTTACACACACATACATACATACATACATAATTATATATTAGATTAAATGTAGTGCAATATAAATATTTGTAAATAAATATCATTTAATAAAATCACTTTAATTCAAAATAAATGTGAAAAAGTAAAGCACTCCTAAGGTCATCTGTGTCTAATTGCCATGAAAATTCTGTCACAATGCAAAAAAGCTTTAATGCTCCTACAATACGCTTCATTTAATTAATGCAAAATATAATATAAGGTTAAGCTTGACCTGAACATGTTTTCATAAATTTCACCCTAACTACACAACCAGGTCTTCCAACCGTAGAGGAGAGTCAGTTTACATACCAGCTCTTCCTGCAGTTAGATAACACCAAAAAGCTATAAATGGCCCTTTTTTTTGAATATATGTTTATTTCTTTGTCATTGTTTTTTACGTCATTTACACTTGTTTTGGCTTCTCGTCCTAAACGCAGTGTTAAGCCAGTTTGTATAGCACATATGAAATTATAAAACCACAAAACCTGATGGACTCACTCAGGAATGTGAAGTATGCGGGCCAAAGGAAACCAAGAGCAGCCAAAGGGGAGATGATGAAATGTAATATCCCCTCGCTTAAAAACCAGAGCATTGTGCACATTACATAGTGCGTGTAAATGCATGCAAGCATGCTTAACATTCAATATGCATTAGTATTTGAGCGAAGAGTCTGTTTTGTGATGTTTTTGAGTGTTGTTTGTGTGCACGTCCCCCCTCTAAACAGAGCCCAGTGGTTTCTTCCATAGTGGGAGGTGTAGTTCTGTGGAGAAGTCACCGCAGATCAATGAACTGAGCGAAACAGACAGGCTGGGCAAGCCGACTACAGCGAGTGTCCGTGGGATATATGCTGCTCACCCTTCTGCAACACCTATTATTTCTCCCCCGCAACGATTCGGTCTTAAAGATACGTCAAAGTGAGACTCTATGACAGCGCTGCTCGCTCTCTATGGTTTATAGAGCCACAGATACAACTTTACCCTCCTGGATACACGAGAACGTACGAGATAGAAGCATTTGGTAGAAATTTATTCATCCGTCGGTGGATATTTGGTTGTTGAGGATGATTTTTGCAAATTCTGGCCACACAGTGAGGACATCGCATAATCGTAAACAGGTAAAACCGTCTTTGACTTTAATTGTGGCCCTCATGGATATTTGTTCTCTAAAGTGGGGTTTTAAAGTCATAATTCAGAATGATCTGTGCTAATATGTTTGTGGAAACTATTATTTGCACTTTCTTGTAATAATAACAGAAAATGGAACGTTCCAGTGATGATCGACGGATGAAAGACTACTTGTGTCCAAAAGCAGCACTTCCATGAAATTAATCCATAAAGAATAGCTGTCATTGGTTCCCTTCCAATCAAACGCTCCCCTCCGATGGGTGTGTTTTTGTTGTGCTAGCGTTTCATTTTGTTGTGTTATGGCACCGGCTCTCATTCACAATTTTATCACACCTTTCCCCCCTCCCGATCAAACCCGTCCCACCAGTTTAAAAATAGGCCTCTATTTGATCAGGTTTTTACGTGTCTCATGCACGTCACTGCATTTTCCTCTGATGGGAAAATACATTCACAGCCCTGCCTCTCTGTTCTTCTGATGGAGTGTTCGGTTTCAGTGGTTAATCTACTTTACTGTGCTGTAATGGTCAAAAGTCACAGCGTTGAATTAATGCGCCCTCTCATATGACACTCTTCATTAAAGCCTTCTCTAATCTCACTCCATGCATGCATTTCACACCCCCCCTCTAAACAGAGCGCAGTAGTTTCTTCCATAGTGGGAGGTGTAGTTCTGTGGAGAAGTCACCGCAGATCAATGAACTGAGCGAAACAGACAGGCTGGGCAAGCCGACTACAGCGAGTGTCCGTGGGATATATGCTGCTCACCCTTCTGCAACACCTATTATTTCTCCCCCGCAACGATTCGGTCTTAAAGATACGTCAAAGTGAGACTCTATGACAGCGCTGCTCGCTCTCTATGGTTTATAGAGCCACAGATACAACTTTACCCTCCTGGATACACGAGAACGTACGAGATAGAAGCATTTGGTAGAAATTTATTCATCCGTCGGTGGATATTTGGTTGTTGAGGATGATTTTTGCAAATTCTGGCCACACAGTGAGGACATCGCATAATCGTAAACAGGTAAAACCGTCTTTGACTTTAATTGTGGCCCTCATGGATATTTGTTCTCTAAAGTGGGGTTTTAAAGTCATAATTCAGAATGATCTGTGCTAATATGTTTGTGGAAACTATTATTTGCACTTTCTTGTAATAATAACAGAAAATGGAACGTTCCAGTGATGATCGCAGGATGAAAGACTCCTTGTGTCCAAAAGCAGCACTTCCATGAAACTAATCCATAAAGAATAGCTGTCATTGGTTCCCTTCCAATCAAACGCTCCCCTCCGATGGGTGTGTTTTTGTTGTGCTAGCGTTTCATTTTGTTGTGTTATGGCACCGGCTCTCATTCACAATTTTATCACACCTTTCCCCCCTCCCGATCAAACCCGTCCCACCAGTTTAAAAATAGGCCTCTATTTGATCAGGTTTTTACGTGTCTCATGCACGTCACTGCATTTTCCTCTGATGGGAAAATACATTCACAGCCCTGCCTCTCTGTTCTTCTGATGGAGTGTTCGGTTTCAGTGGTTAATCTACTTTACTGTGCTGTAATGGTCAAAAGTCACAGCGTTGAATTAATGCGCCCTCTCATATGACACTCTTCATTAAAGCCTTCTCTAATCTCACTCCATGCATGCATTTCACATGCGCTACCTGCAGAAACATTTGCTGGAAATTTTTTCATCCATCAGTTGCTGAGGATGATCTTTAAATGTTGTGTGAGAATGTTGCATAATCATACCCAGGTGAAAATCATATTTGACTTTAATTGTGGCCCTCATGGTTATTTGCTCTTTACAGTGTGGTAATGCAGTCTTTTGGTTGAAAGCTATAATTGAACGTGTCCAAGTCATATTTCAGTCTTATTTTTAGATTTTGCATTAAGAACATTTTAATGAGAATGTACGATATAGAAACAGTTGGTGAAAGATTATTCATCCATCGGTTGTTGTGGATGATTTTTGCAAATTCTGGCAGCGCAGTGAGAACCTTGCATAATTGTAAACGGGTAAAAATCTTATTTGACTTTGCCTGTGGTTCTCATGGTTATTTGTGCAGTTATAAATCATGTAAAAGAACAGATCCAAGTTGTATTTCAGCCTTGTTTGCATATAGAAAATTACAAATTTTAATGATGAGAACATACAAGATGGAAACATTTGGTGGAAAATTTATTCAGCCGCCTGGATGATTTTTCCAAATTCTGGCCAAATAGTGAGAATGTTACATAATTGTAAACCAGTAAAATCATCATTCCAAAGTCATTGTATTTTTAGATTGTGCATAAAGAAAACGACAAGTTGTAATGACGAGAACGTACAAGATTCATCCATATGTTATGGATGATTTTTTGCAAATTCTGGGCACACAGCGAGGATGTTGCATAATTGTAAACGGGTAAAAATCATCATTTGAATTTAATTATGACCCCCATGGTTATATGTTTGGTTTTAAAGTCTTTTGCGTGAAACATGTAAGCGAACATGCCAAAGTCACACATAAAGCATAAAGAAAATCACAAATTTTCATGACAATTATGCACATTTCCCTCTCAAATTCTCATTACTTTAATGCCAAAAAGCAATGACATTTATATTTCATGCTAGCATTTGTTTTTTCCCACAATAATGCATTAAAACATTAACATAGAATTTATATATCACACATAAGTATAATAGGAATTATAAAGGAGCTGCAAAGTAGTGTCTGCATTCAATGATTTAAATGCAGTATTTTTTTTTATATGATTTTGGGGTCAGATATGACCTGCTGGTGTTTCCACGCGATTCACTCTTTTACAGGTGACTCTGAGGTTGGTTTAGACGGGTTTAGGTGACCTTGTCATATCAGCGCATCATGATGGGATTAGATAGTGTCGCTGTTTCGACCTGTAGCATCTGCGAAAGCCTTGATGATCCGCATGTTGCGAATGGCACGCTTATAGCGCGTCGCCTAATGATGAAATTTGATTTATCAGCAGCATGCTAAGAGATTGACTTCTTGATAGAAGAGGAAGGCGAGGGGGGTGGAAGAGGAAGAGGAAGGGTTTGGTAGTCACTCAAGAGAATTATGCATATATATTCATAGGACGTTTAGCAGCATCTCTCACAGGGTGAGGGCGGTTACTGGAAGTTCAGTGTATTTCCAGCACGGATATGATGGGCTGACTAGGTCTGCGGTGCTCTGATAAGAAGCCAGTCTCTCCCCACAGAGCTGAATAGTCAAACAGATGCGAGATACAAACAGGCTTTGAGTTCCTGAGAAAAGCCCATTCCACTCTGGAAATGTATGGGTTTCAGTCGGGGCAGAGGGGAAACACTGGCTTCTCGTCCTCAAAGATGTTCTTTGTCCACTTGTAGGCCGTGTTTGTGCCTCATTTCCTGTTTGCACGGCTGTTCCAATGCAAAGATCAGATGAGCTGTCTTGTTTTGTTTTTGAGGTCTGTCCTGAAGTCGAAAAACAGACTTGCTGTTTTCTTGGAAAGTGCATGTTGTTCAATATAATGAATGTTTATGCGTTTGAAATAAATGGAAATGTTGCACAGCTTTTGTTCTGATTGGAAAAATTCAACAAACTAATCTCATGTGGCATGAAGTGCAGTTTGGGCTGTCCAAATGTGATGCCGTTAAACTATTCATTTTGTGAGCGTTTAAAGAGATTAGCACGCTTCAAGGACTTCCCGCTTGACCGGCAACGTGACTAACTGTGCCGTTTTCCAGCGTATCCTCTCAGAACACTTGACTAATAGCATTCATTGTGCTTTACAGGATGACGAGTTTATTTTCATCTAAAATAGAAATCGGGGGCGTTTTCTCCGAGGACAGGGAGGCAGTGACTTCTCAGAAAAAAATCGGATGAGAATATGATCTCCAGAATGATGGAGGGAAATCATTAAGCACCCAGTACTATGCATTTATTAACGTTTATATTAACATACGGATTATTAAAACCAAGTCATGTCAAATGCTCCAAAAAATAAACTACAATAATGCAGTAAAAAGTAGTACACGAATAAAGCAAAACCAATGTTTCGAAAGTGTTTTAAGTACTCATTTTTCACTGTGACACTAACACGTAAATCATCTCTCTTGCCTTCTTTAGCTCGTTATGTTCACATTAGCGTGAGAGAATGTAATTAGTGTGGTGTGAATGGAGGAATACAGGCTAAAAGTGACCGAATGTGCTTGTTACTGCATTCTTGTATTAAATTATTTTGAAGCAATGCAAGAAGTGCATAAAAACTCGAAGAAATCTTGATTAACTTTGATCCTAGCAAACAGGGAATGTTCTCCGAATGTTCTAGCAGGGTTCTCTCAAAGTTATGAAGAAACGTTCTTAAGTAACATGAATAGAATGTTTGTTCAAAGATCTTTAATAATGTTCTCAAAAAATGAGCACAAATTGTTATTTATATATCATTAATGGAATGTTTTTTTCGAAACATTTGTGACCCTGGAGCACAAAACCAGTCATAATGGTCAATTTTTCGAGATTTAAATAAGCTTTCCATTGATGTATAGTTTGTTATGATAGGACAATATTTGTTCGAGATACAACTATTTGAAAATCTGGAATCTGAGGGTGCAAAAAAAAAATCTAAATACTGAGAAAATCGCCTTTAAAGTTGTCCAAATTAAGTTCTTAGCAAAGCATTTTACTAATCAAAAATTACGTTTTTATATATTTACAGTAGGAAATTTACAAAATATCTTCATGGAACATGATCTTCACTTAATATCCTAATGATTTTTGGCATAAAAGAAAAATCGATAAGTTTGACCCATACAATGTATTTTTGGCTTTTGCTACAATTATACCCAGCGACTTAAGACTGCTTTTGTGCTCCAGGGTCACATTTTAGTTTTTGTGTTTTTAAATGTTACTACGAGAATGTTCAAAAGTAACATTAGCAGAATGATAGTGATGGAATGTTCCCTTATGTTATGTGAAACATTTAAAAAAAGACATTTTCAGGAAACATTGCAGAAA